CCAAATTCTTCAGCTTAAAAATTCCCAACTGGTTAGACTTACTGATATCCAAAGAGACCCTCTTATCCTACTTTTAAATTCTCATCTTAAGGCTACTGCTAACCAGCTGGCCCTTTATCAATCTGCCTGGTACTCCTGGATTTGTCAAAGGGCTAAAGCCTACTGGCTTTCTCAAGGGGAGGACGATATGGGGTTTCTTTATGCCAAGATTAAAACAAGGAGGAATAGGAATGTTATCAAAGAGTTATCTACTCCTTCAGGCTTACTTTCCTCCCATTCTGATATGGCCATGGCTCTTATTAATCATTTTAAAATTCTCTTCAATGCTCCCACCCCGATCTTAAAAAATTCTTATAACTTACCTGTTGGTAAGTTAGCTCCTTCCCATCTTATGGAGGGCCTGGTGGTTCCTGTTACTAATGATGAGATCGAGAGGGTTGTCTTTGCTGGGGTCCCATCTTCTGCACTTGGTCCGGATGGCTTCTCATTTGGCTTTTATAAAAAAATGTGGCATTTATCTGGTTTTCTTTTATGCAGAGCAGTGAAACATTTCTTTTCCACGAGGCAGTTGCCTAGAGGTGCTAAAGCCACGACCATCACTCTTATTCCTAAGGGTACTCACTCACACTCCATCTTTGATTTTCGGCCTATCTCATTATGCAATGTTTTCTATAAAATTGTGGCCAAAATTTTAGCTAACAGGTTGAAAGTCATCCTTCCCTTCATTATTCACGATAGCCAGTTCGGTTTCATTGCTAAGAGGTGCTCTACTGATAATATTATTCTAGCCTCTGAGTTGTTGAGATAATTTAAAGGGCATAAACATCATTTCTGTGCTAAGTTGGACAATAGGAAAGCTTTCTATTTTGTTTCTCGTACCTTCTTAATTAACAGACTTAAGCAAAAGGGGTTTCCTGATATTTTTATTTCCTGGATCAATGGGTGCATATATGATGTATTTTTTTCTATCTTTCTGAATGGTTCTTTGGAGGGGTTTTTTAAATCCTCTTCGGGGCTGAGGCAAGGCTGTCCTCTTTCCCCCCTCCTTTTCTGCATTGTCATGGATGTCCTTTCCTCCTCTTTGGATTGCAAGGAGAACAACTCATTTCTGGGTATGCAGATTCAAAATTTCAGTACTAGCCATCTTATGTATGCTAACGACCTTTTGGTGTTTGGTGTTGCAACGGTGGAGAATGCCAGGTCCCTTAAGGAGGTTCTTCTTTACTTTTCTAAGGCATCGGGACTCAACATAAATCCCAATAAAAGTAGTATTATTTTCTCTAAGAATTCTTCTTTTGATCATCAGATCTCGGCTTGCCTTGGTATTTCTCAAGTGGATTGCTCCCTCACTTATTTGGGACATCCTATTTCCACTTATAGTCTCAAAACTTCTCACTTCCAACCCATACTGAGTAGGCTTTCTACTCTACTTGAGGGTTGGAAAGTTAAATTTCCCTCTTTTGCAGGTAGACTTCAATATCTTAAATTCACTATTGCAAGTACTATTGCGTACTAAATTCGGGGAGCTATTTTACCTAAAGCTTGTTGTAAATTCATCTCTAGAATTTGCTCTAAGTTTCTCTTTTTTGGGAATATCTTGGATACGAAGATGCACCTTATCTCTTGGACGTCGGTGACTATGCCTAAAATCAAAGGGGGGCTTGGGCTGCCTTCTTTTGAATCTCTTTATCACAATATGGCTTGCTCATTCTTATTTAGGATGTATAATTTTAAGACATCTATTGGCTCCTGGTTTAGGAAAAAATATGACTCTCCTTGGAAAGTGCCTCCGAGCTATGCTTCGAAAATTTGGAAACTTTTTTGTAAAACTTTTGTGGCCATTAGGAATTCTGTAACTCTCTCAGTTCACCATAACAGTAATCTCTCCTTCTTTTGGGACCCTTGGTGTAACAAATACTCAATTGCTGATTTGATTAAGGGTAACTAGAATTCCCATCTCTGGACGGGGGATTTTATTTTTAATAACCGGTGGGTTCTTCCTGATTACATTCCTAATACTGTTAAGCTTTCTATTAACAGTACTCTTATTGGTGGTGAGGGCCGTGTGTTGACCTGGAATTGTGCTGCAACTCCCTCTAACAAGACATTATCTGCATTTTTTATTCTACTTTTGAGAATGCTCCTTGGTTTAAATTCATATGGCATAAAGGCTATGCTTTGCGCTATGCCTCTTACACTTGAATGGCTGTTAAAAGCAAACTTAAGATGGCTGACATACTTATTTTGAGGGGCATTCAGGTTAACCCCTCTTGCACTTTTTGCCTTGGCAACTTGGAATCCCATTCTCATGTTTATTTTGAATGCGATTTCTCTTTCCTTTTACTCACGGCTATTTTTCCTGATATGATGAAATTCTACTTGAGGCCGAATCTTTTGCAAGTTTTTGATTTTTTTGGGAGCTATCAAAACTATACCAAGGTTGATAAAACTTATGTTATTTCACTATTGCTGTTCTGGTATATTTCCTGTGGAGGGAAATGAATAATAGGAGGTATTCTGGTGTTTGGAGAAGTCTTGATGAGCTTAAAAAAGTTATTATTCATGCTATTGGTGCTAAGGCTAGGAATTAGAGGCACTATGAATTACTCAAAGAACATTTTGGTGAAATTCTGGGTTGATCAGCTTATTTTGGTTAGCTGGGGCTTTTACTGGACGTTGGCGTATCTTTTCCCCAGTCTATTTTGGATCCCTGTGTGGGAAGCTTTTGGTTGCTGTTGGGCTGAATTTCTTTTTCCTATAAATTTTTGGCATCTCCGTTTTGATTATTTTTTGGCTGGAGCTTTGGATGTCTTCCTTCCTCTGTCTCTTCAGGCGCTACTTCGGATGGATGCTTGCAGAATTGGGACGATGATGTGCCAGATCTACATCTCCGATGCATCCTTGGACGGTCTTTTGGCAACCAGGATTGCGTCATTTGGGCACTGCGATGGCCCTTTGGGCTATGATGACTTCGTGGGCAATCAGTGTCTCTATTGGCTCTGTGGGTTTCTGTAATGATTTGGGCATTGATGCCTCTTGATGTAGATCTATTTTTTTGAGTCCTATTTTTCTGCAATTTTCTATTGCGTGGTATAGTTTTTTTTTACTTGTATCTTTTACTTATAATCTTTGGTGATTAATATATGGGCTTTGCCCCCATTTTTCCCAAAAAAGCAGAAGAGTTAAGCTGCTTGAAGCATGTAAGAGAACTGGCTGCTCTACTTAACATTACAGGGACGTAATGTGGTTTATAAAAATAGGATTAAATCAGGCGGTTGACATTAGTCTATCGGGCCGTGCGCAGCTATTGTTGCCTCCTTCCAGTGCACCACTGGAAAACCCTTCACCTACCTTCTTTTCGCCCTTCCGCCATGTCACCAGCTTCTCCATCTCTCCCTTCTACTGGTAGTCGCTCCGTAAACCCACCTAATCCTTCTTACTTATCTTTCTACTTGTTGATTTCAATCCATTTCATTCGTAGGGTTTCGTTTCCTGATCATTCGCTCTTATTCCGAGGTTTTGACCCGAGTATCACTCTAAAACTGCAGATTCCCAGCTTACGTGGAGGAAGCGGAAGCGAGATAGAAATCCTAAGCGCCAGCAGAAGCGCCATGACGAGGATCATGAATACGATGAGGACGCTGAGCCTGCGGCGGCCGGCGATGAGGACGATGAGTTTGATAAAGACTCACGCGGCCCCAACCGCAATGCCGACAATACCTTCGATCCGCGACATAGCGAGATTCTCTCCGATGTTGGCCAGCGGATCTGCGACTTCCCCGTCGTCATCCGCCGCACTGTCAGCCGGCCGCACGCCGCCGTTGTCTCTCTTGTGGTTGCAGAAAGGCTGCAATCCTCGGGCGCTTCATCTTGCGGTGGTGCGGCCAACGTTGCCTTTCTTGAAAATATCTCCCACGGCCAACTTCAGGTCCTCTCTTCGGTTCTTCCGGACCACCCTTCTCTCCATCCACCGGACATTGACAAACCCTCATCTTATGTTTGCACGCCTCCCGTTTTAATGGAAGGCAAAGGGGTCATGAAGCGGTTTGGGAACGATCAAGTTCTCATTGTCCCTATGCATTCTGGTTAGTTTGCTGATCTTTCTCAGGTTATACACTCAGATTACCATGTTTATTTTCCTGATGGAATTTGGTTCTTACGTTGAACAAAAGATTGGTTCTCTTCAACCACTGCACATCGGCTTGAGAGACAAGTGATACCTCACTTCTTCAACGGGAAGTCAGTAGAGCACACGCCTGAAAAGTACCTGGATTTAAGAAATAAGATAATTGCTAAGTATATGGAAAATCCTGGCCGGAGGCTTTCACTTGCAGATTGCCAGGGGCTTGTCGCAAGTAACGAGCTATATGATCTTAGCAGGATAGTGAGGTTCCTGGATCACTGGGGGATAATCAATTACCTCTCTGGTTCCTCTGTTCATCGAGGACTTAGGATGGCTGGGTCTCTTCTTACAGAGAATGCCAATGGTGAGCTCATTGCACACATTGCACCATTGAGATCCATTGATAGTTTGATTTTATTTGACAGGCCTAAATGTAGCCTCAAACTAGATGATATAGCCTTTTTGCGAACCTCTTCATCTTCCATAGAATCAGTTTCTTGTTTCGGTGATCTGGATGTTAGGATTCGTGAAAGGTTGTCTGAACATGTCTGTAGCAACTGCTCCAAGCCATTGCTTAACTTATTCTATCAATCCCAGAAGGAGGTCAGTTATACTCTTTCACTTGAGTTTGTTTGCTAGAAATTATTGGCTTAAAATGATACGCTTCATGCTTGACTAATGGTAAACATCTTCCATTCAATGTAACTTATACCTAATTAATTTCAAATATTTCTTCATGGTGTAAACACATTCGCTTCAATCTAAATGCAATGTGTTACACGATCCTATAATGATGAATCTATATATTTATGTTCTACCACAGGCATTATGAACGCTAAGCTTTTTAATCAATTTTTCACTTCTCATTGATGCATCAAAGAGATGATGAATCACTCAACTGCACCTTGTTTCCAGTTTCATGATTTGAAACGTCCACAGAGATGACGATACATAGAAGAGGGGTTGCAATGAATGAAGAAAAGAAGGAAGAGGAGAAAGACTATTGAAAAGGGGAATAGGCCATCTCGTCCACAGAGATGACGATACATAGAAGAGGGGTTGCAATGAATGAAGAAAAGAAGGAAGAGGAGAAAGACTATTGAAAAGGGGAATAGGCCATCTGATCAATGAAGAAGATGGGCGAGGGAATGGAAGAGGAGATCATTCTTTGCAGGAGTAATTTCAATTTTTTTTAGAATAAAAGAGGAGGGGTATTCTTGAATGAGATCTAAGATTTCCCAAGCCATTTAATACTGAATTAAATTACATTCAAATTCAAATGAATCCAGTATGAACTGAAATTACATAAAACATAAAAAAATAAATATGAGAAGAAAGTGACATCAACAAACATGAATGAACTAAAATATGAGTAATGGAAATGGGCTCGTCTCTGTCTTGCATTATCTTCCTTTTTCTATGAAAAACTCACCTATAGAGAGTTTATGTGATGGTAGTCTTCTTAGAGATCTGATGCAATATGGTAGCTTGTCTTGTGAGATCCCTATTTCATTCTCAAATGGCTAATTTTTCCATTGAATAAAGTAGCGATGGCATCCTGTAGTGTTAATGTTAATCTTATTCTGGAGGACTTGCTTGACAATTTATGTAAAAGAAACAAGAATTTTGAGAAATAAAGGAACAAGAGAAGCATTTATCGTAGTGGTTGCTCCATATGCTGCATATTCATGGAAATATTTGAGGTTCGAATATCCCTCGATATATTAGTCTTTTATATTGCAAATATGACTAATATTAACATTTAGTGGCAATTCAATTAAATATACATTAACTCCTTTTTCCTAGGATTTCGTAAGGGCTAGAAGATTGAGCATGAAGTTTTCTTAAGTTGTTGCATGGGAAGCATTAAAAACTGATGTACATATGAACATAATATCGTTTGTTTAATTTTTGGGAACTCTATGTGATGTGGGAACATTTTAGCCTATCTTATGCTTAGGGACTAGTTTATCTCCTTTAGTCTAGAGTCTTCTATTTGCTCCCTTAAATAGGTCTAATGTATGGTTTTTGGGCAGACAATGACATATTACTCTCTTTGAAGCTTAGAAAGCTTG